ATAAGTCATCACCACGCCGAGTTCTACCGTGGGAGTAGGTGAGACTCCAGGGGTGACGACATTGCTGACGGTTTCCTCGCGGCTGGTAGTCACGGTGTCGCCGCCTTTATAGAACGTTGTCCAATAAGTGAAGGTTGTGAAGTACGTAACCGGTAGAGTGCTGGTTGGTTCGGGTACAATGGGCGACGGTCTCAGAGTCTCCGTGACCACGTTCGTGACCGTTTCCAAGCGACTGGCGACGTTAGTCTGGTCGCCCTTGTACATGGTCGTGAAATACGTGAAGGTCGTGTAGCTAGTCTGCAGCAACAACGTCGGCGCCGGCTCAACCTCGTGATTGTTGGACTCTGACAGTTCCTGATCTTCAGGAACAGCGTTCCTCTTGTCCATCACGTCTAGAACGGTGCCGCCACCGGAACTGGAGGAGGACACGACGTCCGTGATCATGGAGCCGAGGACTTCTACATCGGCTGTCGGATTAGGAGTTACCTGTGCGCCCACTTGAATGTCGCCGAACAGATGTTCGGTAGTGATTCGGTCCTCCAAAGTAGTGGGTATCTCCGTTGTCGTATCAATGTTGCTGTCGACGAGAGTCGTAGTTTCGTCAGAGTGAGTCGCCTGATTGGTATTAGCCTGTTGCTGAACCTTCTTCGCTAAGAGCAGCGCCTCTTCTTGCGACTTCTGACGTTGAAGAGCCTCCAGGTAAGCCAAGATCTCCGGAGGCACTGGTTTATTCTCGGCGGCTTCGGATTTCGGGGTAGTTGCTTGAACCGTTTCCTGCGGAGCCGGCAAAACGGCAGTAGGCGTAATAGTCTCTGTGACGACGTTGGCAAAGACCTCAGTCCTTGTTTCGACCTCTGTCTCGTCGTCCACGAAGATCGTTGTAAAATACGTGTACGTCGTAAAGAACGTCCTCAATTGTTCCATTACTGCCTCAGTTGCCATGGCTGGAGTGGGACTGGGTTCCAGTTCGGTGGTCCACCCGTCCGAGGTCTCGAAGTCGTCCACAGTTGTGATGGGCTCCGTCGATGTGTTCTCCTGCACAGTGGTATCCTGCTGCTGCGGAGTGGTCAGGCTTCCCTCCGTCGTTTCATCGAGAACCTGATTAACAGGTTCGGTGCCTTGGTTCTGCTCATTGAGGATTTGAGCGTTCGTCACGGACGGCAAAATGTTTTGCGATATCGTCGTCGGTGATATCTCAACAGACTCATCCTTCTCGAAGAGACCAGCCACCACGGCGGAGACGCCGTTCGGCCCGACGGTCTGCGTGATCACGTTGGTCTCGATCACCTGGCGACTGGACACGCTAGAGGTGTTCTCTTGGAAGAAGGTCGTCAGGTACGTGTACGTCGTGTACAGGGTTTTGAAGATAAGCTCTATTTCCTCGTCTTGCTTCGTGGTCTGCTCCTCCTCGACGTCATCGAGTAAGCTCGGTGTCTGCTGCGTTGTATACGGCGGTATCGAGGTGGTAGGATGAATCGAATCAGTGGGGCTCGATCTGATCAGTTCTGTCAGATATGTAATCTCGGAAGAGACCACTTCACGGGAACGTATCGAAGTCGTGGTGCGATCATGGTCATCCGGGATGAAGAAAGTCGTAAAGTACGTAAACGTCTTGTAGACAGTGGACGGCAACAGCCTGGTGGCCAAGCTGGTCTTCTCCTGCGCGTTGCTCGGCTCGAAGCCGTGCACCTTGCGTTCGTCGGCCTGTAAATCGTTCTGCGAATCGCCGCCGTTGATGCTGCGACCCTGCGGATCTCCCGGTACGATGTCGTTGGGGATCTCATCGTCTAAGCTGGGCAAAATCGACTCGGTCGTGCCCAAAACTCTCCTCGCACTCTCCAAGATGTCCTTGAGAGTCGTCAGCACGCTGTCCGTCGTACCCCTCAACGGAGTGGTCAACTCGTTCATGTCTTCTTCGCTAGTGGTGATCGTGCCTGGTGTGGTGGCGGCCATCTCGACGGTGGTCCCTTGCTCAAACTCATCCGTCCCGATGGTGCCGTACTCCAATGTGGTATCGTCTGCTCCGTACGTCGCGGTGGATTCGTCCGGAAAGAAGTACACGTTCGAGGATGTGTCGGTGATCTCCGCGTAGTGCTTGCCTACGTAAGTGCCGTAAATGAGGCTCTTGTAGTGCGTCGTGGTGCCGTCCTCCGCGGTGGTAGAGTCCACGACCTTCAAGAGCCCAGTCGGCTTCAGCGATCCGGTCTTCGCAGGCAGCGGTTCCGTGGATACCGTCGGCGATTCGGCTTCGAGCTCTTCGGTCAGGCTGGGCTGGATGTTGCCGCGGTTGATGGCGCTCAACAGTTGGTCGTCCGAGGTGTGCTTCGCATCGGCCTCGTACGGCTGTTCGGTCTTGCCGTAGTCCAACACCATGGTAGGTCGGATCTTCATGACCGCCGGGCCGTCGTTCGGCTGCAACGTAGCGTCACCTTTGATGGTAGTGGCGGGCAGTCCCATGGGTGCCGAAGATGTGCTCGGCGAGAAGATGATGACGGTGTCGCCGACCGTGGTGGTGAAGTCCGCGAAGCCGTGGTACGTCACCGTGGCGAGCGGCTTCACGTCCGGCTTCCGCTGCGGCGAGGTCTTTGGCTGGGCCTTGAAGATCTTCGGCAGACGCGGCCGGAAGCTCTTCGGCTGCAGGTCGTCCGCGGAATCGAAGCTGCTTGCCACGTATTCATGTCGCACTGTGTAAGTTGGTAAATTGTCGGTCGGCCGGACTTTGGCCGGCTTGAACCTGTCGGGCACGTTGAGCTCCCTCTTGCTGAATATGTCGTTCTCACGAGACAACTCGTCAAGCTTGGCGACGTGGCCGGCCTCTTGACGCTTCACGGAGTCGCTCGACTCTGCATCGCTGTCGACGCCGATCTGCTCGATCGCCCTGATCGGTGCGTTATCAAGCGCCACCCGGAGCTGCCAGTCGTCCTCCGGCGCCCTCGACGGATAAACGACGTAAGGACTCGATGGCTCCGGCGCAGGCTCCTTATCGTAGAACACCCTGCTGGACGTGGACAAGATCCTCGCGTAGAGGCGACCGTTGTCGAGGGTCGTGCCGAGGACCTGAGTGGCGAACTCGGTGCTCGCGCCATCCTGCACGAACGTTCGCGCAGTTTTCGTCAAGAGTCCCACCGGAGGTGCGGACTTGCCGGGGCGCGCCGAGACCAGGAGGACTGTGGTCACTCCTGAAGGGTTGTGCGTTCGAAATGGACAAATGCGACGGGGGAGTAACGTAAGGTCAGCGTAAACCGGCGAGGTAGGCGCGGTGATTTTCGCGTCGGGACGATTTTCGTATTGGAATCGTCGTGATTAGGGGGGGGGGAGGGTGAGAACGATGGGGGTGTAAACGAGACGAAACGAGACGCAAGATCGTCGGAAAAACGCGATTGATCGTATTCAGAAGCGAGCGAATGCGCATACGAAGAAGTGGGGAGGGGTGAGGGAGGAGGAGGAGGGGGTGGAATAAATGCGATTTCAGTCGGTTCAGCCACGGCGTGTTCGCGCGTTTTTGTCATCCGTCCAAGTGTCGTTTCACGTTCGTGAAAAATAGAGTCGCACGTGCGTCGACGTACGTTCGCGTCGGTCGACGAATCGCGCGTCGTATATCGTAATTTTTGTTTTTGTTTTATTATATGTAGGTCGTCGGAGAGACGGAGTGGCGGACGGACGTTGGAGGCAGACGGCATCCAGTTGTTGAGAAGAGTTGAAGGCGGGGAGCAGACGGGAGCAGTAACAGAAACAGAAAAAAAGAGATAGACGATCTTAATAGACGAGCCTTCTTCTTTCGTAGCCTAGGACATCCGCTGTAATGCTTATTTGCGGTAGCTTGCTTAATTAGTCGTCATTACCATACTTGGTTATTTCCGCTCGTATACGCTTTTTTGCCTTTTTGAAGAAAAAAACCGTCACTGAGCAGATTAAGAGAGAGAAAGAAAGACAGAATGAGAACGTGACGGAGAAATTAGCTTGCGTGCGTGAGGAAAGAGAGTAAGAGAGAGAGAGAGAGAGAGAGAGAGAGAGAGAGAGAGAGAGAGAGAGAGACACAGAGAGAAAGAAAGAGAGACAGAAAAAAAGACAGAGACAGACAGAGACAGAGAGAAAAAGAGAGTTTTAGCGATTAGTCGCTTATGTACAGTCCCAAGGTCTTGAAAATTCTTAGATTGCCGAGCGATTGCGTCTTAACAAAAAAAGAAAAAAGAAAAATGATCGTTTCTTAAAACATTTTCGAAAATAAAAGAAATATCTGTCAAATATATCCACTTTGACGATTGAACGTATAGAGAGATTCGAGCGTAGAGAGAGAGAGAGAGAGAGAGAGAGAGAGAGAGAGAGAGAGAGAGAGAGAGAGAGAGAGAGAGAGAGAGAGAGAGAGAGAGAGAGAGAGAGAGAGAGAGAGAGAGAGAGAGAGCGAGCTCCCTCCGCGCGGCGCGGCGAATTTTCATGTCCTGGGGAGGAACACTTCGCAATCAAGTCGTACGGAAAATCTCGAAGCCAGGCACCACGGAGACGAGATGACATGTACACGTTGCAGTCGACTCACAGCGATAGGAAAGTAACTCCCGCCCGAGAAGATTATTTACACGGCCGCACTGCGCGTCAACACGCGCGTGGATGTTCGAGACGCGAAATGGAGAGAGACACATCGTGAGAAGAGATGAATCACAGAGAGTCCAGTGAAGAGACAAAGGATAAAGCGGAAAGATTGTTCGGTATGTCGCAGGACTGCACTCAAAGTCCCGCGGCGGGAAGCGTCCGTCAAGCATCCGTGAAGCCGTGGAGGAGCCGTCTCACCACAATCGCGACAGTCAAAATCTCGTCCAGATGAAAGGAGAAAAAAAAGAAAAAAAAAAGAAGAAGAAGAAGAAGAAGGAGAAACGAAACTCACGAGTTTGAGTGCAGTCCCCATGTACGCGTGTCGGTGTGATTCAGATGTCGCTAATGTGTCGCGACTGTAGTATACAATTTGTTAGACACGCTACAGGGACATTCACAAGAAGACGACTTACCCTGCAGATCCCTCTCTATCCTAGAAGCCCTGATACTTTCGTTCGCTCCATCTGAAAAAGGAAAAGCAGAGTTTCAAATCTACGGCGGGCATCCATTTGCATGTGTGTGTGCGAAGTCGCGCGCGCGCAAGGTCGCCTCAACGCGCTCGACAGAGGAAACGGTGGGTGGTGAAAGGGAATGATGTTTATGATAGAAAGAGCTTCATTTGGTCATCGTCGCAGCTCTTCGTGAAATAATTGCGATGCGTCATACGCTCTTGCTCGCAACGCACGGTTGATTCTCCACGTTCGCGGATTTATCAGGGCTGTTGAAGCACAATTTGCTTCTCCGGAGTTTCGAGGCTTTCTGAAGCTTTGCGGGATTGTATTCGAATAATGAAATTTTCGAGTAGAAACATGAATGTTTTTTTATTTATTTATTTAATTACTGAATACTGTTGTGTTTGAATGTTCTTACAAATTAAATGTTTTTACAAATTATCTCGTTTACAAATTCGCATAAAATGACTAAATCTGCCATATGCTATTGGATGAAATTCAACGTGGATGGTATCGCATGACCGTTCCGCCTTACGTGGTTTGAAAATCGAAAATCAGGACGAAAACCAATATTCAAAGATCAGTACGAAAATAATTGCATAAATTTTTATTATGCTCGCCGAGATATGACGGAGCTTTCGCAATTCTCCGAGGACAAATCTTCGAGTAGAGAATTTTGAAAAAACTTGCAACCTCGAACTTCAACTTCGAACGTCAGATTATCTCGCGGCTTCAAAGCCACATCGATCAGTATATGTGTGTGTGTGTGTGTCGATATTTGCCTAACATCCTTAATGCTTTCTCGCTCGACGCCAGTCGATCATGATCGACGCGCGGAGCGAGCGCGACGACAAGCTTAATTGCACGTTCGCTCGCGATTCACCAAGGCGAGTGGAAAAAGCGGGCGAAAAAATGGCACGCGCGTCTAGGAATGGGAGCTGGCTGTCTGCGCGCGGGAATAGGTGAGCAAAGGATGCTAGACGACGCCGAAGACGTTGTCTCCGGAGACCGCGCGACGTACAGTTATCTGACCGACTCCTCTCGCCTCCCGGGGAACATCCGCGCGCGTCGCGCGTTTATCCTCCTCCTCGTGCCGTGCGCACGTGAGAGAGCGCTCGTGTGTACACTCGCGCTCGCACGTGAGGACGATTGCGCGAGCGCGATGATGTCCCGCGACGGACAATTTCGCGTGCGTTTTCATTAACGCGTAATGACGGCGTTAATCGGCGCGGAGAAAGAGCCGCCCGTTGAAATTCAATTGGCGCGCGGCTCGTTGATCAATTTCGATCGAGGACGACCTTCGTCCCCCCCTCTCTCTCTCTCTCTCTCTCTCTCTCTGTATGTAATATTGATTTATTATTAATTAATTATTCAAAGTACAGAGAACGATCTCGTCAGAGCGCTCCACTTGGCACAATGATAGCTCCGTGTTAACGAGAGGAATTCATATGATTAGAAAGGTACCAATAACTTTGTATTGAGGGTTAAAGCTGTTATGGCGACTTACAACGCGTGAAATGTCACTTTGCTGCTGACAACGCGGCGATTACACAGATCGATCGACTCGACTTCCACCTCGCCGCCGTTAATGTCCCGCTGCTCTCGACGCTCTCGAGCGACGACGTGAACCCGCGGCCTGACCGGAGCAGGTGACATCCGGTTGCCCGACGGTTGTACCGGCGCTTCTCGGTATCGCGGACGGTATCGGGACCGACGAGTGCCACAGCAGCCGTGCCGACTTCGAGGTCACCCTCGTCTGGACACATTGGGTCAGCTGGTCGCGTCGCCCTTCTTTCTGACGTCTGGCCTGCGGCCAAGCGGGCCGTTCCGCGGCCCCTAGAACGTCGAACCGGTCGCGTCCACGTTGGCCAACGATCGATAACGATCGTCTGAGGATCCGTCGATCTCGCACGAAATCGTACTTCGCTCGCGATGTATTTCAGCCACGCGCGCGATTACGCCAGTCCGAGTACCGAGCGTGCAACGCAAAACGCCTCGAAAGCGCGGCTGGCTTCTGTCAAACGGAGCAAAATCGATTCGCATCGAGCGGCCCGCCGAGGGACTAAAGCGTCGAGCGGACGAGCGTTGAGCAAACACGCAGAAATCGCGCCAGATGCCGGCGGGGGGTGACACGCCGGCGAGGCATTTCGCGCCGCTTTCGAATTGCATAATTCACGCACAATTCCCCGCGTAGTTTCCCCGTTCTACGCGCCCGCGATATCGCGAGCCTGCGGCTGCAGCTTCTGGCCGAAAGGCCGAAGGCGAAGGCGATCAACCTCCTGGCACTGTGTTATTTTGGGCGGAAGTTCTCTTTCCTACCGACGTGAAACACGCGTTTGAGAAGAGATTCAATTAGAGGTCAGTGTGTTCGCTTGTACGATTTAATACTCGCGTTTCAGACGCATTAATGCGCAAGTTGACACGCTTACTCGTAAACTTGTCATTTTGAGACGTATGAAGTTACAAGTTAACACGTACATTTATGATTCTCATTACGTTACTCGCAACTTGATACTTATAGTTGAAGTTAACGCGTTTATTTGCAATTCAACATGCTCGTGGAAACGTGCGAGACGACGTGACTTGAAGCGGCGAGAAACGCGCGAGAAGAGTTTACCTTCCTTCTACCAGATGACAGTTGCCTTCGAGAAGAAGAATATATATTCTGATAACAATCCTTACGCTTATTCTAGATTTTCTAAAAAAGAAAGGAAGAAAAAAGTCACCGGAAAAAAGAAGAATTTCCTCTCTTTCCAAGATTTCCTTCTGCCAAATGACAGTTGCCTTCAAGAAGAAGAATACATGTATTTTTGACAATTTAGGACAAGTGTAAGGATTGATAACAATCCTCACACTTGTCCTAGATTTTCTAAAAAAAAAAAAAAGGAAAGGAAAAAATCACCAAAAGAAGAATTTCTTCTCTTCCCAAGATTATCGTGCAACTTACAATCCGTATGGGAAAAAAGCAAACGGAACTTTTGTTTTAACTTAACATGTTCACGCATGTTTTAACTTAATGAGAAGAATCTTCAGTCGAGCGACGCGCTCGACGATGAGGAAGGTGCACGCGCGGGCGGCCGCACCTGATGATCGACTTCCACGTAGTACGCGGCTGCATAATCGCGGTTGCACAGGCGCAAGGGCTACCTTGAGCCCATTTTCTTGCGCGATACGCGAAAGGAGAAATCCTCCGGGGATTATATGCCGGGTTTCGCAAGAACAATTCGTCCATTCATGCCACAGCGGCGGCTACTGCTCGCACCCGCTAAGCCAGCGCTCCATAGGGCCTTTTTTCCGTCGTGGCCACGACGATTGACGATTGTTCGGCCCGAGTGACGCGGCCGGGCTTGTCCGATGAAGAAGGGAAAAAATGTGCTGTTGCGTCAAGGAGAAGCCGCGATGATCGATAGGATTGTCAGTGTACCGCCGCGATGAAAAGGATATCGCGAATTTAAAAACGCCGATTTTGTTACGCGAACCTCGGGGAAAAGCATTCGACGGAGAAAATGGTGCCTCTTTCGTCCTGAATCTGAATCTTGCGCGATGAATCTAAAAGTATGGCATTCCCTTAGACGAGGCTGAGTCGCGCTGAAATTGGCCAGAGTTCCTGTAGCTCTCGAGACTTACGTCAGCCGCAACAAATCGGCATAGTCGTTATTACATGCTTCCGGTGAAAGCTCCTCCCCCTCCAAAAAAAAGAGAAAGAGAGAAAGAGAAAGAACAATGCGTGTGCACGCTCGAGCGACGCGAGCGCGCCGCGCAATTTGTCGAAATCTGACTCGGCGATGCGTCCGCGATGCGAATTAATTTCTCACGTTTGCGAGCAGCGCCGAGTTAACTAGCCGTATAATGCTCGTCGTTTGGTGCCGAGAGCCACTCGGGGAATGTTGCATTCGCGTCGAGGGGGCCGAGAAGCGCGGTTGGATACACGCTGCGGTAGAGCGGAGAATAATGATGATTACTCTCACTTGCTCAATAATTTCTCGCAACCGGCCGGCAATATCCACGACGTCTCTCGCGTCGCGCGCACACATCTCTTCGGTTCGTCTTCGATCGTTCGTAGGCAATCGTGCGTGCGCGCACGCACGCGCGAGCGAGAGCGCGAGGAAAAAGCGCCAAGTGCCAAGGAATTTCCTACTGTCGCTCTTCGTTTTCTTACCGGCATCTGGGCCGATTAAAAATCCGACGCTCGCGGAGGATACCAGACGCGATGTCCGACAGAAAAAGTTCTCGTTTCTTGAGGTTTCTGGCCAGCGATATTCTCGCCCCCGGAAAACAGATTCTCTAGCACGGAGAAAGTTTTTATTGAGTAATTTATCGGTACCTTGTGACTAGGATATATTTGTAGAAAAATCGGGGAATGTTAACATTGCTTTTCAAGAAGCAGCGATGAGAGAGGGATGTCGGGAATTTGCAGACGAACGAACTCCATTCTTATTTATTCCAAACACGGATTCTCCGTCCTGTGAAATCACAGGAATGCTCGACAGAAATATTCGGGGCTCACGTCTTTCAGAAAAATTCTGTCCGTGCGATGGATATCGAAGGATGTCGTGTGCAGTGCGAATCCTCCGACAGGACTCTCACCCGCGACGTGACGAAGGACGCCTCGTCTGCGAGCCAAGATCCCGCGCCATTGTAGCGCGCTAATCGGGAACATATCGATTTTCCACGCTGAACTCGCGAACGACATGAAATCCCGCGCTGCGGGCGCGCGCGGAACGAGTTCGAGGGAGAGAAAGTGCTCGATCGTGAGAACCGGTAACAGCGGCACCAAACGCGCTTACGACTTCGCGCACGGATATGAATTCCTCAAAATATCGCGCGTTAACGACCAGCTTCGCACGTGGTACACGCGTCTGTGCGTTCGAGACCTGGTGCGTGGAAATGTGCCGCCCCGAGTTGGAATTTTAATGTTATTTTGTCGATTTCCATATTCCGCTCGAAGCTGACTTAAACAGTCTCCGAAACTTGAGCCGAGCTACTTGGATTCTGTTTAAAACCTCAGAGTT